CAGTTGTTCTACTTTCACCTTTGGTCTATTCAAATCTTGAATGTGATGGAGGAACATGGCTCCAAAATAAACATCAATTTTAGAACCTATTTATTCACTATGAATCAAGTATATAATCCAAGTCCAACTGAATTGTTAGAAAAATTAATTCTTTTGACAATATCGTAATAAGCTGTAAAATATGGAATAAGTCTATTGTCATCTGCCATCCCAACCAAGACCCTGCCACAGCCATGTGACCATGCCCAATGACATCACAGTAATAATCACTATACAACTAGACATGACATCTCTTTTGAGTATTTTGATTTCAGTAGAGCCTTAACAGACTGGAACAGTAAGAAAGAGTGACAGATATTTAAATGTTAGGGAGATATTTAACAATGGCTATTCTTCCTGCCACCACTTCCTCATTGGAAATCACACACACACACAACTTTGATTAAATCCTGAAATCTAGAAATCCTGGCTGCATCCCTGCAGGGTAGATAACATGACCATTTTATTTGATTTAATTGGTCTCTGGTTATCCCATGGTATTTCTGTTACTTGAACATTATCCAGTCAGCATGATCAAAAAAGGCATACAACCATTGAAAGTTGTTGAAGGACTTGCATTACTACAGACATGAAAGAATGAGAACCATACTATAAAAAAATAGATAAAATAGAAGCATAATAACAACAGTAATGAGTAAACATGTGCCTTTTCTATGTGTGCAACATGATTTTCTCAGATTCAGTAAGAAATTACATCAAAGGGAAGACAATAAAAGGTGTACAGTTAACTAAACCACATGAATATAGCTATTCAAATCGATTTTAACCTGGTTGTATCTGTTTCTGATTAGCTCCAGCCACCTGTCATTTAAATTGCTTCTGTCCCCAACCCGATATTAAAACCACTTCTACCACCCACTAACCCTTAGCCAGAAATTATATAAAAAATATGCTTTTGTAGGGGGCAGTGTTTTTTATTAAAACATATTTTGATGGTGGATCATAATTTTTTTAAATTGCTTCTATTGTGGGTTGGTTGATTTTGAAAGAACCTTCTCCCTGGGGGGTATATGTTTTGATGGAACAGCCCTAACTAGTAAATTTCCAATTTTGTGTTGAAACTATCCAGGTCTCATGAATTTACTAACTAGTAAAATTCCATCTTGTATTTGAAACTATCCAAGCTTTAAGTATACACTTACTAGGAAATGGCCATTCTTGTATTGAATCTATCCAGGCCACAAGTATATACCACCTAGTAAACCAATTCTTGATTTCCTGAAAAAATTTTCGGTTGACTAAACATATAAGCCTTATACAGATTGCCTATACAAGAATTCACAATTATTTTGCAACATTATCATCATCAAAAATTCCTCACTTTTAGGGTAAAATTCTATTGAAGTGTAGGATTTGGGCATAAAATTAGTGACAAAGCAAGGGTTTTGTACAATGTTAAATATATTTGTTGGAATGACAAAATTAAAGAAGACTTAGTCATACTACTATGCTGTGTCATCCTTCTATTTGATGGCAGTTACATTGTGGCTAATAATTGAAAAAATGCTGGCAGCACTAAAAACCACTCCAAATACCACACTTATCTTGCATAGCAATGCAAATATCTTGTACATGTTGCTGATGCTTAGATCTGAATAACCTTGGCTGACATTTGGCAGCATGATAATTTGTGTAAGTTAATTTACTATGATCTGAATAACCTTGGCTGACATTTGGCAGCATGATGATTTGTGTTAGTTAATTTACTATGAAGTTTTATATTCTCTTCATATTTCCAGATGGTTGTGTGACAAGACTTGTGCATGGGATGTGCTATAACTTCCTTGCCAAAAAATGGTCCTGGATTCAGAACACCAGCATCAACTATGCAGTTCACGCAGTGAAGATTGATAGTACAAAATCCGGGACAACTTCAGAAAGCAAATTTAAAAATGATTCCAGCAGTACATGATCATGTTATGTAGATCTGTGAATGGACAAGTCCACCTAACTCTTTCAATAAGTATTTATAAATTTGTACATATGTGTTCTGGGGACAGTTTTAAGTGATGCTTGTTACAGTGTTACTTGTGATAATATCTCATAGTTAAAGACCATGATAAAATTATGACATTTAATTAAATTTACTGTGGAAGACTCAGTTTTAATACTCCAGAAAAGTGTATTTTAATTGAAATGTTACTCTTTATTTTGATATAAATAAAAAATAAACTGCCATGTCTACAAAATCATGGTATTAAATATTTTTTATAGAGTTTTCTGCTTGTTCATGCAACCCAGATTTTCACCATTATGATTGATTCTTTGTTAACATTCCTGCTTGAAATTATTTATTTTGTCAAACTTTTTCCTGTGATTATCTTTCTGATGTGGAGGTAAGGGAGCTAGAAAATTAGATCAAATAATTCAAAGGTTATAACTAAAGTTTGGTTTTGGAATAACAAAACATTCTTGGGACAAAGGGAAGGCACTTTTCATTATGAAGTAGTCACCAATACATGCAATTTAGAATTGTATAATTTCATATGAACTCTTCATGTAATTAGAGACCCTGGCATATATTTATCAAAAACATCCTTCCCAGGGTGTCAAGTATGTTTAATTGGAACAGTCCTTATGAAATGTACTCACTTTCTCTGAACCCTTCTTTTAAGAATTCATGGAAACAAATCTCAAGTTATTTTCTTTGATTAATTTAACTTTTTTATGTAAATAAAATGGAAAGAGGTATTCATTTTGTGAAAAAAAATAGCACAACATTTACACTCTATACTGCCAGTGATGTCTGTACATGTACAACATTATCTGTACTGCCAGTGATGTTTCAACATGTTGTACAATACTTACTATATGTACTGCCAATGATGCCTGTACATATACAACACTGTACTGCCAGTGATGTCTACATGTTGTACAACACTTACTGTTTGTACTGCCAATGATGCCCATACATGTACAACACTATCTGCACTGCCAGTTATGTTTGTATATGTTGTACAACACTTACTGTCAATGCTGCCAATTATGCCTGTACCTGTTGAACAACAGTCAATAATGCCTACACATATAAAAAAACACTGTATTGCCAGTTATGTCTATACATGTTGTAAACCACTTATTATCTGTACTGTCAGTGATAACAGCTTACATGTCAGACATTTACTATCTGTATGGCCAATGTTGTCTGACAGTTGGCTTACATGTCAGACATTTACTATCTGTATGGCCAATGTTGTCTGACAGTTGGCTTACATGTCAGACATTTACTATCTGTATGGCCAATGTAATCTGACAGTTTGCTTACCTAAGTAAAAGGTGACTTTAAGATATACTGTCATGACAACCTTGTTGGTACATAATTAAAAGGTGGCTTAATTAATCCATTCTACACCTCTGTAAAAGGTGACTTTATAATATACACTATTATAACAGCCTTGTTAGTACATACTTAATTAAAAGGTGGCTTAATTAATCCATTTTACACCTCAGTAAAAGGTGACTTTATAATATACACTATTATGACAGCCTTGTTGGTACATACTTAATTAAAAGGTGGCTTTAGGGGGCCCAAGTGATCAAGTGGTCTAAAGCACTGTCCGTTACGGATCACTGCCATCTCACCTCTGTTCAAGTCTAGGATTCTTCGAATGTGGATATGTGAGAAAGCTTGACAGTAGCTTCTCGTGGGTCAGTGGTTCTTTCTGGTGAGTTCCCAGTTTCTTCCTCCACCATTAATACTAGCCGCCATGAATAGCCTATTGTGTGCTGAAAAATGGCCTTAAGCACAACAACAACAACAACAACAACAAAAGGTGGCTTAATTAATCCATTCTACACCTCAGTAAAAGGTGACTTTAAAATATACACTTTTATGACAGCCTTGTTGGTACATACCTCAACATAAGATGGCTGTATAATATACACTGTCATGATAAAGCTTTAAACACCTCAGTAAAAGGTGACTTTAAAATAAACCATCATGACAGCCTTGTTGGTAAATACCTCAGTACAAGGTAGCTGTATAATATTCACTATCATGACATCCTTGTTGGTACATACCTCAGTAAAAGGTGGCTGTATAATATACACTATTATGACAGCCTTGTTGATACATACCTCAGTAAGATGGCTGTATAATATTCACTATCATGACATCCTTGTTGGTACATACCTCAGTAAAAGGTGGCTGTATAATATACACTATTATGACATCCTTGTTGGTACATACCTCAGTAAGATGGCTGTATAATATTCACTATCATGACATCCTTGTTGGTACATACCTCAGTAAAAGGTGGCTGTATAATATACACTATTATGACAGCCTTGTTGATACATACCTCAGTACAAGGTGGCTGTATAATATGCACTATTATGACAGCCTTGTTGATACATACCTCAGTAAGATGGCTGTATAATATACACTATCATGACATCCTTGTTGGTACATACCTCAGTACAAGGTGGCTGTATAATATGCACTATTATGACAGCCTTGTTGATACATACCTCAGTAAGATGGCTGTATAATATACACTATCATGACATCCTTGTTGGTACATATCTCAGTGAAAGATGGCTGTATAATATACACTATTATGACAGCCTTGTTGATACATACCTCAATATAAGGTGGCTGTATAATATGCACAATGACAACCTTGTTGACACATCTCTTGATACACAGTTTATGTTTGTAAGCTATTATGACCAAGCTTTGTTGTTGTTGTTGTTGTGTGTGAGTGATCATGATTTTTGACATAGCTTTAATAATTTTTCAGTCATATCGCTATGATGTCTGCAGTGTGGCAGTTAACAGCGCTGTCTAGCACTAGGGTATCATGCCACAGACATGTAGCATGATGTCCCACCCCCAGTCACATTATCCTGAAACCAGGCCGACCAGTCCTAACACTAACCTCTTAATGCTGAGCGCCAAGTGAGGAAGCTGTTAGTACCATTTTTGTAAGTCTCTGATATGAATTGGCTGGGATTTTGAACCCACGACCTCCCACATCTGAAGTGGACGCTCTAACCACTAGGCCACCGGAGCGGTTCCAAGCCTTGCTGGTACATCCCTCATGATTTGGTTCCCAAGAATAGCGATGTGGAGAAGAAGTATTGTAACTTATTTATGCTAGAGTTCTTCTAAAAGCAAACATGCCATACACCCAGCATTTAAAAACATATAGCAATAACTATTCATGCAAACTTTAACTTATCTAAATTCTGTGTAAGACAATCAAACCCAGCAAAAAATTTTATGGGAAAAGTAGACTAATTTATGCATGAAAAGGTCTATCTTTCTATCTGACTCAAAATTGGGTCTTATCTCACACACATTGCTGTTTTCATCTAATATGAACATGGGATAAAATGTATTTATTCTTTAGGGATGCAGAGGTTCAGATTTATTGTGTATGTGTGTATATACTGTATACAAAAAAACATTGGTAAAAACAACTCAATAAATTTTATTTGCAAATTGTACAGCTGAATTACTATGACTGCTTAATGTTGAACAACATAAACTCGAAAAAGCACTTCATTAAATAAAATTAAAAAAAAATAGAACAGCATAAACATTTCTTCTTCAAAAATTCAGTTTTTGTTTGAATTTATATTTCAAACTTTTACCCATTCATATATATATATATATATATATATATATATATATATATATATATATATATATATATATATATATATATATATATATATATATATGCCAAAACAATACAATTTCCCATTTGAAAGTTAACAACAATAAGAAATAATTTTATTCAGCATTATGCAATTTTAATTGGGCAAGTAGAGAAGAAAAAAATTTTGGCATAAATGAGAAGAGTAAGGTATGAACGTAATTTAATTAACTGTATAATATTTTAGAAAACCACCAAATTATCTGGTCAATGACTATTTTTAAATGCTGAAAAATGCAAAATCTACTATCATCAAATTGTAAGGGAAAGAACTCTTTAAAACATGATCACAAGTATAAATCTTCAGATGTCCATAGAAGAGACCTCGTTTTAATCACATTAATTGCTATCAAATATTAATGGGACACTGCACATAATTTTGGGATATGCTCATAATTGTTTTACAAATATACTTGGACAAAAATGGTTTTAAAGAAGAAAATCAAATTCTTTTGATCACAAACTGTCCATTTGCAATGTATGTTTTGTTTTGCTGATGAAATCTGTGGTAAATAATACAATTTGATGATGACAGATTTGTAGGATCAGGTTAGAGATTTTTTCCAAATGTTCATGACCTATAATGCGTTACTTTTCATCCAGATAGAAGGTCTAGTTTTGTTCAAAATCATTTTATGAAAATCTAATAATGCATAACTTTCTCCAGAAGAAAACTAAATACCTATTAATACCTTACAACACTGTTCAAAGAAATCTTAAAAAAACAAAGTAGTCTTTTTTTTGGCACTCAGAGACAATTTATAAAAAAAACAACTACATATTAATATTAAGTGCAAGATCATCATATAAATTTATTCACTAACAATATAACAATTTTTAATAATAACAACAGAGGAAAATATATATCAATGTAAAATGTTAAAAATAAACACTTCAAAAGGAAGAGTTTCAGTGAAAATGACTAATGTGTTATTTAGGTTAACATATATCATTTTGTGTAGATGTAACACATGTAATTATAACTCATGTCATCATAATGACATCATATATTAAAGCAAATGCAAAAAGTAATTGGTACTGGATCAAATTTCTAAGTCTTTTTACTACTTTGCTCTAATTTTGGCACATAAATTTGATATTTTTTACAATGTGAAATGAAAATGATGACATTTTCCTCCAATAATTGCTAACTATTGCTAGCCTAGATATACAAAATAAATTAATTTTTCACTATGGGGAAATATAATTCTTGTTTGTCCTCTTTTTGAAATAAAACTGATGACATTTTCCACCAATAAAATTGCTATCTTTTGCTAATATAGATACACAAAAGAAAAAAGTATTTCACTTATTTTACTCTATAAAGTTCTATATTTCTAAAATGACCTGAATATCTTTTGATGCAATTGAACATATATATATAAGGGTTTAATGTCATTATGGGTGATAAAGATTTCATATTCTTGTCAAATTTATTCCTGTTTCAATTCCTATTTTGAACCATTCCTATATCAGATCATGACAAGGAACTGTAAATATATCAGATGACTTTTTTAAAAAAGAATATGAGTATTTTAAGTCCAAAATAACACGTGTCTTAATTATAAGCTTTCTTGTAGAGCTCTGCTTGTTTCCGACAGACAAAACTGCTTAGTCAACAAACAATAATACAGGATCATCAGATTATCCAAAAGAGATAAACTGTAATGCTTGTGAAAACTTATGGTCCTGCATTATAAAAGAAAATCTATAATGCACAAATGTAACCCCTAAATTGTTTGTATAACTGTTAATTCATTTATGTACATGGATGCTGGTTTTTATTGTCTTATGAAAAGTGACACTTCTATATTTAAATTTAAAAAATGATGAAATTGGTCCTTTTTCCACTTAAGTATCATAGTAAATTCATTGTTTGAAGCAGCTATGAAACACCAAGAAAAATAGTGAATTCATTACGATATGCTTGGAAAATAAAGTTATATCATTGAAAATTAGTATGCAAATAAAGCAAAATTACTTAAGAAAAATTCATTAGGTTATATTATTGATGTTTTATTCTCAAATGGCATGGTAAAAGACTCAATATCTTAAGATTCCATGCCTTATTTTCAGGATACTTTACAACAGCATACAGTTTTCCCTTTTCCGAGTTTGCATTTCATATATTAACTTTGTGAAAAACTAGTATAGATATTTAATGCATACATTCTTTACAAGATGGACTTTATGAAAGAATTATGTCATTCATCTAAAAGATGGTAAAATAAATCTAAATTAATAAAGTCTCTTAAAATTATTAAAGTTAGAATAAATACTGAAATTTAATACAGTAAAAGTTCCAAAACTCAACAATCATTCAAATGGAAAGCTCCATCAAACACCTTTATTTTACTCTTGGCCTGGACCATAAAAATATTACAATTGAAAATTCTAAACATTATATATATATATATATATATATATATATATATATATATATATATATATATATATATATATATATATATATATATATATATATATATATATATATATATATATATATATATATTTGTGTGTGTGTGTGTATTTGTATTGAATGCCAATCAATAAAATAACCAGTTTGAAAGTAACAAAAATAAGAAATGTTTTTTTCAGCATTATGCAAGTTTTTCTAGTCAAGTAGCAAATGTCATTTTGATTCACTTTGGTAGATGTTATGAATGAAATTTCATTAACCACATATGAATTTAAATAACCATCAAATTTTCTAGTCATGGACCATTTCCAGATTTTGAGAAACTTTAGCAAAATTTACAACCACCCCACCCATCCATCCAAACTAGCTGCTGATTAGGAGCTAATTTTCCACAAGAGTTACCACTAGCTGAAAAATAACAAAACTTTTTTGTTTAAGAAATGTCTCATTGATTAACCATATTTCTAACCAAATTTGTTGAAAGAAATCTGACATTTGCATAAACACCAAACTTAATGTTCAAAAGGCATATGGTAAAATATTTAATTTTGACAAAATCTTTGAACTTATAGTTTCATTTTTATGACTTGCATATAGAAAGACTCTGACTGTAAGGGAAAGAACTCTTTATAAAATGATCACAAGTACCATATCTTGGGAGATTTGACAAATCATCAGTTGTCCATAGAAAAGACTTGGTTTCATATATACTAAATACTATAAAATATCAATGGGACACTGCACACCATGATGGGATACTCATAATTCTTTTTAAAATATTTGTAGAAAAAGATGGATTTAATTGAAAAATTTAAATTTAGTTGATCACAGGATGTAAAGTTTTTTTGTTGTTGATGAAATACAAGGTAAATTGTAATGTTTGATTATGACAAATTTTGGATCAGATTACATTTTTTTCTCCAAACTATTTATAATGCTGTTAATTTTCTTGGAAACACAAAGTTTTCTTTCTTTGGCAATCAGAAACAATTTATACCAAAAAAAAAAACAACTGTGTGTCAATGTAAAGTTTAAGATCAGAACATAAAAACCACTAACAATATAACAGCAAATAACAACATGAGAAAGATATATCAATGTAAAAAATATACACTTCTAAAGTAACATGTCAAAATTTTCAGTAACAATAACAATTTATGTCCTTCCTAATTTATTATTTAGATTAATATACCCATATCATAATGTGTAGATGCAACATGTCATCCTAATGATATCATCATATATTGAGGCAAATACAAAAAACTAGCATCCGAATGTATTTTCATAATCATTTCTCTACATTACTCTGCAGTATTAACATGTAAATTTGATATTTTTCACTATGTGAGAAATAGTTTCTTAGTTTGTCCTCATTTTTAAATAAAACTGATTACATTTTCCTCCAATACTTTCTATCTTTTACTAGCCTAGACACATAAAAGATAACAATTATTTCACCTCATTTATTCATGTTCAGTTCTATATTTTTAAAATCACCCAAACACTTTCTAATAGCAACATGCTGTAATGATGATCACAATCAGAAAAGTAATAAAACACTTACAAAAATATATCTCTTTAATGTAACTGAATTATTATTGGTATAAATTGAACAAAAACAAACAATTTAATGTCATTGTGAATGATAAAGATTAAATATTCTTGTTAAAATTATTTATGATTCAATCCCTATCTTTGAACCATTCCTATTTCAGATCATGACAAGAACCAGTAAATATATATCAAATGGCTTTTTAAAAAAGAGTATGAGTAATTGAAGTTCAAAAAAACACCTATATCTGAATAATTTAAGCTCTCTTTTCGATGAAATAAACTAATGTTTGTGAAAACTTGAAGTTCTGCAATTTAAGAGAGTCCATAAAGCACAAAAGTAAGCCCAAAACTGTATATGAAACTTAACTTCATTTATTGAC